GAGCACTGCAGGACTTCCACGCAGGTGCTGATAATCATACTCTCTATTGCCTTCACTTGAATGAAGTGCGCTTGTGTCCAGTCCTCAGTAAAAGCTGCACCTGGACTCTGTTTTGTGCAACCATTTTGCTCCAGTTTGCTGTGATTGGTCTTCTTCATTTCAACAAAAGAAAAAAAAAACAGGTGTGTGTATATATGCAATCATTTCCAGCATGTTAATCACTGTGTGAAAACAGACTAATGAGTTATTAAAGAGTTTCTAATCTCAAGACAGGCATCACTGCTTTCAGGGACATGTGTAAATGGGTTTCTCTTAGCACATGCAGTGTTATATAACATAGTGTTATATGTCCAGGCCTTTCATAAGTAAAATGCTTTAGAAAGTGTTGCTAATGTTGCAAATACATGGCGAACCTAAACATGTTTGCTCAGATTAAATTTAAATTTTAAAACAACTAAATCCCTTTCAAATTTACATTGGAATGTTGTTGTCAAGCCATTATCCCTGGTAATTTGATGTGAATTCTCTTCTCACCATAAACATCAAATAATAAAATCCCCCCCCCCTCCTCACCCATTAGTTATACTGTCAGACTTGACTCTGTTACTCTGGCTTTTGTTTTATCTGATTAACATGTTCAGCTTTTGCAAAGAAAACGTTATTGCATTCTCATATTTTATTTTTAAGTGCTGATGAGGAAACAAGGTTCATAGGTGTAATTGTTTTCTTGATGGACTCATTAGCATTTTGAAGATGCACCTTGAGGTATGCAAATGTACAAGCATGCTGGTGTACTGTTACTTTTATTTCTGTTTTGTTTTTCTAATTGCCCTTGAAAGGAATTCTCCCTGGTGTTATTATGTGTGTTGCAAATAAAGTACTTTATCAAGCACAAAACATGAGGATCAGCTTATTTTTGTATACAAGTCTTGATGTATTATAGTTCTTTGCATGAAAATGGAACAATTTGGTCAAATACTGTTTGGTCAAACAGTATAGTATCTCATTGGAGATACCAGATATATCAGTTCTTAGTTCAGTTTAAAACATTGTCCTTTTAAATGTATTAATATCACTGTGTGATTTATTGCCTTTTATACATAATTCTAGCCTCTGGGACTGACCATATTTTTGCAGAAAACAAAAACAAGATTGTTGTACTATTTGAAATGCGTGTTGTGTCACTCGAAGTGGTGTCTCAGATTCTAAATCTATAAATCTTTTGATCTTGACTTGAGAGGTTCACCATTCTGCATTGCAAGGAGGCAGAGGGACATTCAGGAAATTGTGCTTTTCTAACTGAAAGAGTAAAGTACTAAAGAATCAATTTTCCATTACTATAGCCCTTATAAAATTCTACAGCTCTGTATTTCTGCCAAGTTACCACGGTTTCCCTACAATAATGTAGTTTATTCATGGATAGTGTGGTTTTGAATATTTTGTAAATTAAAAATTAAATTAAGTGCAGTATTTTTGAGATTGTAATTGTACACTCATATTTTGCTATGTCTTTTTCCTGTTTAAAAGCATATTATCTTATGACAATAAGGTAATAATTACATAAAAAGTATTAATTGCTGAGGCTTTTCTACCACAGTTTGATTTCATTATGTGATTATTTCTTGCAGTATATAAGGAATTCCAATCACGTAACTTCCACTTTTTCATTTTCTTTCCTTAATGCTCCCTTGTGTGAACAATTTTCATCAACACTCATTATGAGGCACTGAAGTTAAAAAGCTGGAGCTCGGCAGTTTTTTTTTGTAATAGAAAAATTAATTTGCTAGTTATCTTAAATTAAATGAACAAATCACTTCAGACACACAGCCATGTCCCCCCCCCACTTTCATAATAGATTAACCTTGCTTTAATGAGCTTTTCATTAATATAATGTGATGCTCAGTTTTCTGTGTGAAAAGTGTCAGCCGAGAGTCCTACTCCATTGTGAGACAGAAATTGGAACTAATGTTTCCTATTTTCTAATGTACCCAGCCTCACAGTCTGCTTCCTGAAGACCATTCAAAGGCTGTTTTTCCTTGAAACATTTAGCAAGTTAAATGTATCTATTTACTTTCAGAATGCCATTTAACATCAGGAGAAGAAAGTAGTCGATAGCCTTAAATGTGGATTACACAATAACAAAACATAGACAGAAATAATCACAAATTCCTCAGAATACCACCGTCTAGTTTTGTTTCTACTTCAGTTTAACATGGTCTGAATGAAAATACTGTATATGTTCATATAAAGGGTTACAGAGATAATGTTATATAGTGCCTTTTCGAGAATCTAAATGCAATGGGTAACACCAGGCTATTGACAACATTTCAAGTTTCAAAGCAAGGAGGATATTTGTTGAGATGCAGGGATCTCAGATTCAGTGATCTAAGCAATGGTAAGGTTCACCTCATTTACTTTAGTTAAATTAAGTTCTGGGTAAATTAATAAGTGTCAACCAAGAGTCTAAGAACATAAAAGCATAAAAACAAGCAGGTACAGACAGATTAAAAGAGACAGGGTGACACAGGAGAGGAAGACAGAAGGAGAGAGCCCCTCGTCCTGATTATCCAGGAAGACAAGATTGAGGTTATGTATTTGAACCTTGTTAAGAGACTTTGCTATTGTGTTGTTGTTGTTGATGTGAACTTTGATTTCTGGTGTTAAGATCCCATGGGTTAAAAATAGGCTCTTCTGGTTATTGGATACATTTTTAGAATCAGTAGGTTCCCATTCACTTTGCAGCATCCAGGTTTGCAGAGAGAGATTAAATCGTAGGTTGTATTCTTCTCTTCATTTGGCCTTTGTAGGTGTTATATAAGAGTTTGAATACTCCGTAGCAGTCTGTGGTTTTTCTAGGTGGTTAGAAAACAAGGTTTCTGGGATGCCTAGTGTATAAATTTGTAAATAGCATTACATGGATGTTGTATATCTATGTTGTGTGGCAAAACCATCTATCAATTTGGGTTCATGATTATTTAATTTAGATACTATGCACACTCAGTTATTCCTGATATTTCCCTAGTTTTGTATCCCAATATTTGTAACAATATAGTGTGGTAAAGTGTAATAAAACATTGTGAAATTGCTTGCAGGAATACAGTAAATCAAGACCGACTGGGGGATACAATTTTTCAGAAAAGCAGAAGTCTGGCTTAGTTGTACCAAAAATATGGGAAAATGAAAAAATCCAGGTTTAACTTTTAGCAAGCTACACTGCCAATTTTCCTCTAAACTGGATCCAAATACAATTGCAAAAGTGAAACAAAAGACAGCTAGTTTATAAAGTGTGTCTGGAATGTCCTCAAGAAAAGAAAACAACCAACTCTGAAACACAGGTGACACATAAGTGCTACCTGCTGATTAGTATGCAATTCTATTGAGGTCATCATGTGTTATGCAACTATTGAGTAAGAACTGATACAGGTGGTGACTGAGCTCAAGCAGGTTCATTAATTTCAGCAAATAGGGCCTGATAAAAGAACAAGCAGTAAAGCTGCCCCCTGCTCAGCAATGATTGATGTGCATTGTGCCTTTACGTCTCAAGAGCGCTCACTTCTGTGAACAGGGAAACTGATGATTAGAAGAGCGAATCAGACTTTCCCTTAACAACCTTCATGCCTTCCCCCTGCCTAGTCTCACTGGAAAATGAGCTCTCTAATAATGTGAAATTTTTACAGCCACCGGCCTGGAGATGCACGCCGGAATGAAATACAAATTTAGATTAAAGTAGCGCTTTCTGAAGGGTCTTTGAAGTGAAGAGAGAAAGGAGGGTGAGGGAACACTTTCTTGGCTCAAGTCTGGGTGCCACAGTTCTCAGCAGGCCAGCTCCATCACCCGCTGTCCCATCTGTGCAATTAGCAAGGTACACACGGACACCAGCAGACCCCAGTGGGTTTAGGATTTTTACACTACTTATATTCACTTGATTTTGTCACTTGAATACAAGCAAGATTGCCATTTTTTTACCTTTATCCATCTTTGCTGTTTTTTAAACAATTAACCAGGAGTGGTTAACTGAAAGACACCTATAAAACCTGGAGAACATTAGTTGGCCTGGCATTAGTTCCTATAAGAGCAGCTAAAATAATTCTGCTCTAAATTAAATGTTATGCTCGGTAGGTTAAAAAAACGTAATCTCTACAATCTTCAGCTCAGGGAATCCAAATTGCTTCAAGTTCAGCTGTGTAACAAGTGCAAAAGTGCATAACTGGAAATGAAGTGGACATATATTTAGGACTTACAAGATGAAGCACATTTTTTACACTAAGTGTAGTTGGTGTCTGGGACGAGCCAAACCATTTTGTTGAAGCCAATTCCCTGGGATCCTCTGGATAATATCTGTGGATTACTCAAATGAACATGATGGCTTTCTCTCATCTGTAACCTTTCCCCTGATCATTTTTTCATAATTGGGCAGATGGCAGCAACGGGGCTACAAACTCATTAGAAGAGAGTCATTCAAACGGGTGACACTCACTTACATTTGTGCTCATTTATTCAACTGGGAATTTAATTGGAACAATCAAAGTGAAGTATCTTGCTCAAGTGTGTTGTGTCCCCACCTGGGATTTGAACCCACAGCCCTAATCACTCCTCCACACTACTGCCATAATGGATGTCATAGCCCGTTCAGACTCATGCAAAGACTGTGAATGTTAATGACAGAGTCCTTCCATGTGGTATAGAGCATGCAGTCTGAGTGCTTGTCACTCAACAGGCTGTAAACGAGAGGACAGGTTTCTGGTGAATCACCTACAGCAAGGCAAGCAGCTACCATTACTGAAATGTGCAGACCCATTATAAAACCTAGATTAGACATTATTTCACTGTTAACTGTCTTCAGCATCCATGTGCAGACTGAAAATAGCTAAGTGACAGCTATTATAAGTGAAGCCTCCACAGCTGAAATTTTGTGTTTCTTTTTTTACCTTTCATCATGGAATGAACATCTACCTGTTCTTTAACAGACAGATATTAACCTTTTCTTCTTTTTCTTTCAGATGTTTCGAAGGGCAGACAAGAATGGTGAGTTCATGTTATATACCTACCTTTCGGAAATACAAACTGTTGGTGTTTAAAAGCAATGTAATCAAAAATGGACTTTGAGTGATCTTTTAATCTGTTAACTGATGTTCAGATAACCTGAAATTGCCATTCAGATTACCATATGAAAACTAACAAGAATGTCTGATCTACTGAGATAGCTCCTATTTTTTAGCAACTAATTTTAAGTTTCTTGGAAGTGTATCAGTAAGTCCCTTTTATTGTGATAAGAATCACTAACAATTGTACTGAAATTTCAGCCAGGTTACACATAGACTCTGGTGAACGTTTAAAGTAACAATCTGCATTGTAGGACTACATAAAATACTGTTAGTGGTATTTTGCTGAGTACTTTGTGATGATTAATGAGAACATGCTACCAGTCCATCCACACATCCATTTGAGAAGTAATAAAATCACTAATTGCAGCTGCTATATGAATGCCGATTGCCCTGAAACTAGTCTGAAGCTTGTGCTTGACAGGTTTAAAACCCCCACCACAATAAAGCACACATTTCTAAGCCACATCTCACAAAGACTCTTTGTATAGGTCTTTTGACCTACAATATAATATTTAAGGGAATGCCAAAATGTTATTTCCAAAGATAATAAGCTAACTGATATTAAATGCACAATTAAGGTCCGTTTCCATTTCTGATGTGTTGTAGAAGGTTATTTCTTTAGAGGTTTTTAGTGGTTCAGGACAGAGTCAATGCAATGCACTACTCACTACAATACATACATTGTAATAGAAATAAAAGAATTGGGTAAAATCTGTAATATCCATGGCTTGAAATGACTATTTTGATTAGATCAACACATATCATGCCAATTTGCTTCCAAGGAAGAGAGTGTTGAAGATTTCCAGTGATACTCCAAATGCAGGTCCTTTTCAAAGTCCCGTGTGTGCTCATTTTTCTCTTTAGAGAATGCTTCAATCTAGCCTGGAGCCATCCAGGTGTACTCATGTGACAGGTCTAGGAAAAGAATTACAGGAGCAATAGATGCCTCCAAAGAGAGGACAAGAAATGGACCTAATGAAGTATGATGATGATGATGGAATAGGTATAAAGCCCATTCACACCACTCAAATGCCAAACAAGATTGATGGCATTATACATGACAAGTGCAGACATTCAGAGTGACAGATCGAAAGAGCTTTTTTTAAAAGTACAATTTCTATTTCTGCAGCTTTTTGCTATTGTACTGGAGATGTATTTCATAGAATTTCATAGAATTTATTTAAGGCAGAAAACCTGAAAAATGCACTGATGATACTGTGTCCATGAGTACAAACGTGACTTCTGTATGTGGTGGATAAGTGTTACTGTACCGATCTGTCTTGAGCTACAATAAAAGGATTCAGTCTGTATACAAAAATCATTCACATTTGTTTCTAATTTTATTACTGTTCATATTTTAGATCTGTGCTCTTTGCTTTTCCTTTCAAGTTTAAATTAAAACTTACTGTATTCATGAGTGTCATTAACAGAAAGACTATTTCTGGGAACTGAAAGGGAAGATGCTTGGAATTAAGATAATTGGATTTTAAAGGGTTTTAGAGTCTCTAATTGTTTTTCAAAGAAGGTAAATAAAGTAAGACCAGTCTGAATGGAAAATGAGAAATAGGTTTGTATTTCTTCAGAAAACTTAATTTTCAGAAAAGGCACATTTTTAAGATGTGTAACTACATCTTATATCTGAATTTAATTAAGCGAATAACAGCACTCCTACTTTGTATTTTGAGCCCTATGACTTGGAGGTCACAAGATGTTTTTTCACCTCTAAAATCTGACTGTGAGACTGTCATAGGAATTGCAAATAATGGGCTGGGTGAGGTGGAGCTGACTGAGTGAAAAGGAAGAGAGTTTAATTTATACATGATTGTGATGCCAGACTTGTGATGCCAAAACCCATTATTAGGAAATGCAAAAATAAATAACCAAACAAATCAAACTTTTCAGTTTTGTTGCATCATGGGTACAGCCACTCTGGTGCAGAAGGGGACTAGTCTGGATCTTGTTTTTATTTTATACGCACAAAAGCTGCTAGTTCTTTGTCAGTCCCCTGAAAAATACTGGTGCCCTGTGGTTTGGAGACTACAGTATAAGAAAGCAGTTAAGTTAATCGGAACATTTTGCTCTTGTGTGCTGTTCAATCGTTTACAGCCATTTTGTGAGCACAGCAGTGAGACAGGAGGACAAATCACATCTTTCCCAAACCATTCCCAACTGAATAAGGAGGGGGAAAATATTAAAAGATTAAAATGAAAAATTGTTTCCTATATGATACACTTGGCGTGCTTAAAAAGGTGAGAGAAAGAAAGGCTATGCATTTTATGCATGTAGAATAAGTCATTTCAGAAGAAAATGCATGTCCTTTTTTTTTTTACAAATTAATTGGTTTAGTTTCATGCAGTCTTCCTAGGAAGATAATGTTTGAGTAAAGAAAAAGACATCTTCAAGATCACATGGTTTAGAGCCTTGCTTTTTACCAGGAACCCTGATGTGTCTGACCTTGTGTTTGGATAATTGCCTTTGCAGGCGATGGTAAAGGCCTAATGTCAAGAGACGAAAGAAGCTCACTATTTAGACTAGGCAGAAGAAATGAGTAGCACCAATTAAAGGGCTTCTTACTGGGTTTGTAATTGCCTTGGTTTACCAAAAAAGTGGAAGCTCAAACACTCCAAAGAGAAACGCACATGTAAGACATCTTCTGTGAAATCACAAGAGCAAGTGCTTCTTGCTTGTTTGATTGACTGTTATTTCTCCCAGACTCTCATCCAACCATTTAATGAAGAATCCTAAGCTGTTGGTTTCATTACTAGAACTGGACAGTTTGTTCCTGTTTGGCATAAAGAGATGCTTAAGAATGAAAACGGAAAGTGTAATATGTGAACATAACACACAGATGGTCAGAATGCAGATTGTACTTACACCCCATCCTTGAGTTCAAGAGGATTCATCCAGAATTAAATGTATTGAATACATGTTTATTGAGTGTTTAGTCATAGTAAATTTGGCTTAACCAGCTTGGCTGGGGAGGGAGAGGAGTGACCCAGTCGTTGTTTTATAACAATTTTTTAGGAAATGATGCCAGGAACAATTATGATTAAGGACAGCTAAGGCAAATTGAATTGCCGGCATTCCTCCTGAACTGTTGTTGTTAAACTCCATTTAATGTGTCGTCATGAGTAGACAGGTGCAAATAAATTGATTTTCTTTGGTGCGACTTTTATTGGCCAGTATTGTTAGAAAAGCTGTTGAATTCCCAACTGCTTCAATATTTCTGTTTTGGAGGGGAGAGAGCTATGTAAGAACAGGATGCCACTAATTACGTTTCAGACACATCACTTATTAAAGATTATTAAAGATCTCCAATTTGAGATCCTGATGTTTGATTCAATTCCTCTCTGAGTGGTGAGTTTGTTCTATGGATACCAGCAGTATGCCGGTCTTAAGTGTAGAGAGCAAAATCAGAATCATTTGAGCCACTAAATAAAATAAAAATTCTGGCCTACTTTTTTTCGCAGTGTTTATTTGAGCTGAGCAGATTTCTTTCTGGGAGGCTTTTTCTTGCACAGCAGAAAGGTCAGGAGAGCTTTGGAGTGTGTTTGTCCGTAAAAATGCTTAGCAAATGTCTGTAGAATAATTCTGAGGTGCTTCTCTGCCTTACATGCACATCTTCCTGAGCCCTTATCATACAAACTGAGCTGCCCCTCCACTGAATTCTTGTTTAGATAACATGAACAGATTCTGGTCCTGCAAACCACTTTCAGCTCCTCCCAAAAATTATTTGAAAGCTTTGCTCTGCAGTAAAAGCTTAGTAATTGGTACAGCATATCAGTATACCACTGATGAAAATAAAACTAATCCAATTACACTCATTAAAAGTAGGTCTATGAGTAATTAAAGTTATTACAGAAGTACAGATTGACATAAAATGTCCAGGGCATAAAATGTGAAATTCATCATAATGAAAGAGAAAACTCCTTATGTTGTATGTTCTGCAGATACAAGGCTCTAGACTACCAGGTGTTGTTCTTTGGTCTCCATGTCATCAATGAAGATAATATTTTTTTCTCAATTGACATTAATTAGCCAATAATCGTAAGTGAGACTTATTTTGGAAATATTGATTGATTCATAGAAATTATTCTAGAATTTGAAGTGAAAGTATGGCTTTACAGATCATGGAGTAAAAATGATTCAGTCTTGTTTAAAAAGAACATACACTAAAACAGAGTTGTGTACTAAGACTGGTACTATACCTATAATTTGTAAATTACTAAATATTAGATATTGTTATTTTATCAGAGTATAATTATTTACATAAATAAAAGACACCACCATTTCCTGCAATTTTTATCTTTCTGGATTTCCCAAGTATATTGTTTTATTATTTATTCACTCCATCATACTTATAGTCAGCTTTGTTTTAATTTTATCGCATTGGAAATACAAGATGTGGAATAAAATAAATCTTAAAAATATTCTGTCTAATACAGAATTACATTAAAAAATGGACCATTTCTTACACGGGGCATTAAGAATAAAACTCAATAACTGATCTTGTTATTTGTTAACCTTGTATGAAGCAGACATACAGGTTCTGGTCTTCTGTGTTCTGCTGGAAGTCTGTTTAAAACTTAATGCTGTTATGCATTTGCCGGTGCCTGGTGGCACTGGCAAGACTGGCAAGGATCACAAAAGTTGATTCAATTAAAGATAAATACAAGAGCAAGAAAGTGGATAACTGCATAAATCATTGAATATATATACAATGTGCTTTATTCCCTGTTGACAGGCCTTGATTAAGGCAGTTCAGAGACTGCGCTCACTCATGGGTCCTGCTGATCCAATCCGACAGGTCTAATGGCAGAGGCACTCTTCTGTTAGACTGTCCTTGGCCAGACCATCAGTACAGCCTGTCTCTGATTGAAGGCTGACAGAGACCTGGAGAGAAAAACACGTGACCCAATA